AGAGGATCTTGGAGACTTCCTCGATGGTAGTAAGGTCAAAGGTGCGGAGTGTTGGGGGAGCTTCAGTATGAAGAATGTAGGGTGGGGAAGTGGAGGTCAGAGCAGTGGTGAGGCCGTGGGAGAGGGGTGATGAAGGGGTAGCTGAGTGAAGGGGAACGGGGTTGGAGGGAGTTTGAGCAGCAACGAAGTCCCTGCTGGTTATGTCGAGGGGGAGGGAGGATGAGGGGGTAGCTGTGTGAGAGGGGGGGACAGGTTGAGAGGGCATGTGAGTTGCGGCGATGTCCTTGCGGATTGTGTCAGTCTTGTTTTTGAAGTGATTGGCAATCTCAAGGGCAGTGAGTGAGGTGCTGGGTGGAGGTGGGGGTGGCGAGAGTAGAGAGTTGAAGGTGGGGAAGAGTCGGTGAGGATTTGAGGAGAGGGCCTTGATGAGGGTCAGGAAGTAGGCTTGTTTGGCTGTGTGGAGGGAGGAGGTGTAGGTGTGGAAGGCAGATTTGTAGCGGGTGAAGGCGTGTTGGGATTTGGTTTTGCGCCATAGTCGCTCCAGGGCACGACTGTGTCGTTTGAGGGTTTTGGTGTGATCAGTGTGCCAGGGCTGGAGCGGTCGGGGTTTGATGTTGTGTGTGGTTAGAGGCGCTAGTGAGTCAAGGGCTGTTGACAGCGTGTTGTTGTAGGCAGTCATAGCCAAGTCGGGCAGGACAGGAGGAGGATGCTGTCATGGAGTTGATCAGTTGCAGAGTGGAGGGGGCAGGATTAAGGTTGCGGAGGTTACGGCTGGTAGTAGTGTGACATTTGGAGGGGTAGGCGTTGGAGGACGAGGAGATAGAGAAGGTAATAAGGCTGTGGTCAGAGAGAGGGAAGGGGGTTTAAGTGAGGTTGTGGGGAGCGCAGCGGTTGGAGAAGACAAGATCAAGGATATTACCGTCAGAGTGGGTGGTGGATTGTATGCACTGTGCAAGTGCAAAGGAGGAGGTTAAGTGGAGGAGATGGGATGTGTCCGGGTTGTTGAGGTTGACAGGGATGTTGAAATACCAAGGATGATGGTGGGTAGCTCAGAGGAGAGGAAGAAGGGTAGCCAGGAGCAAAAGTCATCCAGGAAGCGGGGTATGGATCCAGGAGGCCGGTATATCACAGCAATCTTCAGGGGGGTTGGGGAGAATAGTCGGACGCAGTGGGCCTCGAAGGAGGAGAAGGATAGGGAGGGGGGGTTTGGGAGGACTCGGAAGGTGCTCTGCGGTGACAGGAGCAGACCAACCCGACCACCTTTACGACCGTTAGGCCTGGGTGAGTGGGTCCAGGTGAGACCTCCGTAGGAGAGTGCAGCAGGGAGGTAGAGTCAGTGGGCTGGATCCAGGTTTCTGTGATCGCTAGGAGGTTGAGGGAGCGGGAAACAAAGAGGTTGTGGATGGCGGTAAGCTTGTTGCACACCGATCGGGCGTTCAGGAGTGCACATGAAAACAGGGGGGGAGATTTAGGGAGCAGGAGGACAGATACTAAGTTGTGGGGGTTGTGGCGGGACGTGGAGGTGGGAGGGTGTTGTGCGGGTGAGGGAGGTGGTGGAGGGCCAGGATTCGGGGAGATGTCTCCCGCGGTTAGGAGGAGGAGAAGGGTGAGAAAGGTGGCATGGGAGCGGGATGTGCAGGAGCGTGAGAAACTACTAGTGGAGGTGTTGGGGTCAGTGGGAGAGTGGAGTAATAGGAGGAGGTGGTGGGTGCCGTTGAGGGGTGAAGGAAGCAGTGAGGACACAATATACAATTGTTTGGGAGGGGCAGAGGGATATAGTGAATGGATTTTGGGAATGGAGGAGAGGAAAATGAGGAGGAGAGGAAGAGGCATTTTGGGGAGGTGATGAGAGCAATAGTAGGGAGATGATAGCAATGAGGGGGAGATGTACAAGTTTTGGGGTGGAGCAGAGGGTAAAGAAATGAGATTTGGGAACAGAGGATAGTAATATGATAAGGAGAAGAGGGGCGTATTATATAAAGGTACACGGAGTGGGACTCAGGCATGTAAGAGATGTTTCCCGGGGTGTTGCTTGCAGTCTGTCCAGCGTGCAGTAGAGTTTCTTGCTGTTGTTGTTGTGTCTTCCTGCTGCTGAAGTTCTCCTGCTTTAGTTCAACTGCTGTGTTTAACTGCATCGCACTCCTTCAACGCAGCACTCGCTCAATGCAGAACCCCATCAGAGACTGTGCCCCCCCTCAGTGATCTCCCCCCATGAGCTGATCTAAATTTATAGGGAGATGCTCAAATGAGCATTCAACTCCACCCCAATTAGAAGCTGATAAGGATCACATGAATAGTGGGGGATGGTTTTCAGGGAACAGGCTACAGTCGTAAACCTGAGTGCAGCTGGAGGTGAGGAATGGTCAACATACACAAATATAAATACACCATTTGTTCTGAATTTAACAGGAGTCAATGCGTTTTCCTAGTTAAGAGCGGAGATAGGAGATAGATGCATTTACCCAGAGGAAAGCAGGAGGAGTCAATGCGTTTCTCTAGTTAAGAGCAGAGATAGGAGATAGATGCATTTACCCAGAGGAAAGAGCAAATAACAACAAAGGGCCAGAAGAGAACTAGGGAAATGAGGAAATAGAATTTGTTTCCCTAAAACTTGCTTAGCTTATGTATATATTGCTGACCATCAGATTTACAGTGCTATATTTCTTTTTACATAATTCGGACAACCCCTTTAAGGTTTTTTTTTTTGGCATTTTTATATCTTAAATGCACTTATGTGAATTAATTAGTAATAATTTGGACTTTAAATTTGGTTAAAAACCCCATAATATAAAAAAAAAAAAACAAAAAAATTTTTTTTTTTTATAAATTTGAAGACAATTTTGCATTTTGTGACAAATCATGACGTCTAAGAGTTTTTTCAATATTTTATTTGTTTTCAATATTTTTTTATTTGTTTTCAGCACACCAAAATACATGGAAATTAGATGAAAATAATCAAACAGCTTTTTAGTCGCAGACCTGTGTTATAAGTAAGACACACACAACAAGTAAAGCCCAACTTCAGCTAACGCTTCTACAGCAGTTACAGCAACAGGTTCTCTATAAGGTCCAACCCCCCATATGAATGACAACTGACAGTTGTGAGCACCCCCAGCAGTGTTATAGGATTTGCCCCAACCCCTCCAACTGCCATTTTTCCCTAAAGACTTAGTCTTCTACAGGAAGTAGAAAAAAAAAAAAACAATCTACTGGGAGGGACAACAAAAAATAAAACAATAAGAGACTCAGAAAAACAAAACCTGCTCTGCTAATGACAGATTTCATTATTAATGTCATTACTGATTTTGCCCATAGTTACACTTTGGTGCCAACGTTGTAATATTTCCAGGGAGAAGAAGTTTTCTTTACAAACTTTACACCAAAAAGAGATGTGTGCACTCAGAGTGATTATTGTGAACCCCAATCAGAGGATGTCAGTCCCCCGGAAGAAGAAGTGGTAGGAATAATAACCGCACACTCAGCACTTTGTAAGTTCAGATCTCTGGCAGTTGTATTGTGTGATTAGTCTATGGAGAGGAGTAATAGCTGGAAAGAGAAAACATGGAACAAGGATTTCTGATCTTCACCTGATGGAATCCCATTTGGCAGAACCACATGGAACACAAGTGGCCAGCTGGGCTTACGTTTTACTGCTGAATACATCCCCTAAATCAGCAGTAACTCAGTATTGGAAGGCCTGCATCAGCTTGGGATGTTGTTTTCTCACTGAACAGAGACTTCTTTCTAGCTGGTGTCACAGACACAGACCTGCCTGAAAGGTTGTCACCCATGAGAGGATATCCTACAACCTCACAAACACCCCCTTTCCTCTCTATGATCACAATCTCATCACCTTCACAGTCTCCTCATCTTCAAACACTTATCCCTCCAATCAGCAATCACCTGCAGAAACCTTCACAACTTGAACCCTTCTCCTTTCCACTCTGCAACTGACCAACTCTATGACAGAATCTCTCCCCTGTCCTGCCCTGACCTGGCCACTGCTGTCTACAACAGTTCACTTTCATCCACATTAGACTCACTTGCTCCTCTAACATGAAGCATCAGGCCCCGACCATTACAACCTTGGCAGACTGACAACACCAGAGATCTTAAACGACATAGTCGTGTGCTGGAGCGAATGTGGCGTAAAACCAAATCTCACCAAGCATTCACCCGATATAAAATCTGCTTTCTTCACATACAATTCCTCCCTCCATGCTGCCAGACAAGCCTACTTTGTCACTCTCATCAATAGCTTGTCATCCAGTCCTCGTCGTCTCTCTCTCTACTTCTAACTCTCAACTTTCTCCACCTCCACCCAGTACCTCACTCACTGCTCACGAGATTGCAAATCACTTCAAAAACAAGATTGATGCAATTCATAGGGGCATCTCCACTGCACAGACATCCATCCCACTTAGCATACCTTATACTAAACCTCCCTCAACACTTTCCTCTTTTGACCTTGCTACTACCGAAGAGGTCACTAAGGTTCTCTCAGAAGCCCGTCTCACTACCTGCCCCCTGGATCCTGTCCCCTCACAACTCTACCGTCACCCCCCTCTTCCCTCCTATCTGCTCCCTCACCCACATCTTCAATCTCTCCCTCTCTACTGGCGTATTCCCCTCCCCTCTAAAGCATATGCGCACATCACTCCCATACTTAAAAAATCCTCCCTGGACCCCACCAACCTGAACAACTTAAGACCCATCTCCCTGCTCTTGTTTACTTTTAAACTCTTAGAACGCTTAGTCTACAATTGCCTGAGCTCCTCCCACCTCACCGACAACAACCTTCTTGACCCTTTACAGTCTGGCTTTCGCTCACTACACTCCACTGAAACTGCCCTACTAAACCTCACTAATGATCTACTAACTGTTAAAACCAATGGCCACTACTCCGTACTCATCCCAACCAATGGCCACTGCTCCGTACTCATCCCAACCAATGCCACTACTCCGTACTCATCCCAACCAATGGCCACTACTCCGTAGTCATCCCAACCAATGGCCACTACTCCGTACTCATCCCAACCAATGGCCACTACTCCGTACTCATCCCAACCAATGGCCACTACTCCGTACTCATCCCAACCAATGGCCACTACTCCGTACTCATCCCAACCCAATGGCCACCCAACCAATGGCCCTACTCTACTCATCCCAACCAATGGCCACTACTCCGTACTCATCCCAACCAATGGCCACTACTCCGTACTCATCCCAACCAATGGCCACTACTCCGTACTCATCCCAACCAATGATCACTACTCCGTACTCATCCCAACCAATGGCCACTACTCCGTACTCATCCAACCAATGGCCACTACTCCACTCATCCCATGATCACACTCCGTACTCATCCCAACCAATGGCCACTACTCCGTACTCATCCCAGCCAATGATCACTACTCCGTACTCATCCCAGCCAATGATCACTACTCCGTACTCATCCCAGCCAATGATCACTACACTGTACTCATTCCAACCTATGGTCACTACTCCATACTCATCCCAACCAATGGCCACTACTCTGTACTCATCCCAACCAATGGCCACTACTCCGTACTCATCCCAACCAATGGCCACTACTCCATACTCATCCCAACCAATGGCCACTACTCCGTACTCATCCCAACCAATGGCCACTACTCCCGTACTCCCCAACTCTTACTACTCTTACTGACCTCTCTGCAGCTTTTGATATGGTTGACAAATCCCTTCTCCTCAAAAAACTCCACTCAGTTGGCCTCCAAGACTCTGAACAAGCTCTGCAATAGGTAGGAGAACCAGGAGAGAGCAGAGTTAACTATAACTCTGCCTCCTCCTCTCCACTCCCTCTTTCCATAGGGGTACCTCAAGGTTCCGTTCTTGGACCCCTACTCTTCTACATCTACACCTCCTTCCCCTACTGCCATGGTTTTAAGTACCATCTCTATGCTGATGACACACAAATCTATATTTCTACTACTCACCTCGCCCCTTCAGTCTCCTCTCTCATTACTAACCTACTAAGCGACATATCGGAATGGATGTCACTCCACTTCCTCCAACTCAATCTTAACAAATCTGAGCTCTTAGTATTCCCCCCCAGCCTGTGCCCCCTCCCTGACTTCTCCATCAAGACCAATAACACAACCATCAGTCCCTCCCCCCATCAAAAAATGTCAAAAGATAAAATATTTCAAATCCCTTCTAGTTGTGTGCTTGATGGACATAAGCACTAAACTCAGTTCATCCGATCATTACATTCCAGTTTGCTCACAGATTTTAGTTTGTTTTTTTTAAAGTAACATTTTAACTTTTCCCTTCTTCTCTAGCTTGTGGGATGACATTGGGGATGTGAAACAAACCTGTGACACCTGAAACTTCTTTAATATTCCTTTTCTTCCAGAATTTAATCAATGCAGAAATTTTATGAAACCTCCGGTAGATAGATTAGACTGGCATTAACTATAAAACTTTGTCACATTGAGAGCATTAAAAAACTTCTCTCCAGTGTGCTCTCTCTCCAGGTGTGTTCATAAGATCTGACTTATATGTAAAAGCTTTATCACATTCAGAACACTGATATAGCTTCTCTCCAGTGTGAACCCTCTGGTGTCTGATAAGATTTGACTTCTGAGTAAAAGCGTTATCACATTCAGAACACTGATATGGCTTCTCTCCAGTGTGTATCTTCTGGTGTCTGATAAGATTTGACTTCACAGTAAAAGCTTTATCACATTCAGAACACTGATATGGCTTCTCTCCAGTGTGAATCCTCTGGTGTTTGATAAGATGTGACTTCAATGTAAAAGCTTTATCACATTCAGAACACTGATATGGCTTCTCTCCAGTGTGAATCCTCTGGTGTGGGATAAATGTGACTTTATCTGTAAAAGCTTTATCACATTCAGAACACTGATATAGCTTCTCTCCAGTGTGAATCCTCTGGTGTGTGATAAGACTGCTTTATCACATGACACAGTAAAAGCTTTATCACATTCAGAACACTGATATGACTTCTCTCCAGTGTGAATCCTCTGGTGTGTGATAAGATGTGACTTCAATGTAAAAGCTTTATCACATTCAGAACATTAACATTTTAACAGTTTTAAGAAAAGGTGGCAAGCACCTTGTCTAGTATCTGGGGTAGAAGATAAAGGTACGCTTTACTATTGGATAATTTGATTTGTCTTACTATTTGGATAATTTGGGTTTGTGGTTTTTGCCTTTATAAGCTGTAATGTACGTAATAAACTTTGCAATCTTCCTGTATCCTACTTGAGTGTTGGTTATGTTGATTGCCCGATCGCGATCGAGCCCGTGCCACACCCAGACGCTGCGCAGCACAGAGATAATATAAGAAATAAGAATATAAGGATTCCAGGAAAGGGGGGAATTCCTAACAGCTGGTACCAGAAGTGGGGTCCCGCTAATCCGGGGGTGAGTAATATCGTTTCAATATACCCTTGATATATTATGATATTGCCTGTGCTCTGGATACGGTGACGTCTCACGTATAGTGAAACTGAAAGTAGTTTAGTGTTTTTGTAAAGGAGGGGTTCTGTTCTCGCTCCTAGAATAGTGTAGTTTAGTGTTTTATGATGGAGGGGTTCTGTTCTCGCTCCTAGAATAGTGTAGTTTAGTGTTTTATGATGGCGGGTTCTGTTCTCCAGCTCCTAGAATAGTGTAGTTTAGTGTTTTAATGATGGAGGGGTTCGGTGTTCTCGCTCCTAGAATAGTGTAGTTTAGTGTTTTAATGATGGAGGGGTTCTGTTCTCGCTCCTAGAATAGTGTAGTTGTTAGTGTTTTATGAATGGTTGAGGGGTTCTGTCTCGCTCCCTAGAATAGTGTAGTTTAGTGTTTTATGATGGAGGGGTTCTGTTCTCGCTCCAAATAGTGAAGTGTAAAGTTTACATAAAGGCGGGGGGGGTGTGGGGTTCTGGTCTCGCGCCGTATATAACGGTTCTTATTTTTTAACTGCGGAAGGGTCAGACTCGTTCTCTGCAGTTATATCAGCTCTGTGACAGTTTAGACTGTACAGACTGTACAGGAAACAACCATGAGGGGGTTTCTGTTCTCGCTCAATAAAGAAAAAAGACATAAAAGAGGCAGGGAAATTTTAAAACGGAGCTAAGTCTTCCGTTTTTTAGGAAATGTCTGAGGTGTGCCGGTGCTAATTGTATATAAAAGCAACGTTGTATTGTGGATAATTTGATTTGTTAAATGTTTGCCTGAAGTGTGAATGAAGCGTATTGCAAGAGTAACGCGTTACTGGTGTCCATATTGTCTGCAGTCTCATGATTTTTTACTGATATATTGTATATTAGGATCTATATAATTACCCGTGTTATTGAATTAGCATTAGCATTAAGCATTAGATGAATCTAGCAGAAAGGAAAAGTTTGACTGATCAAAGGAAGGAGAAAACAGTAGAACATGATATAGCAGAAAGACCCACTTGTAGTGGTTGAACAGAAAACAAAGAAAGACCCCGAATATCAAACATAACACTTCCACTGAATACAGTAGGGGACACAAAGGTACAGGTACCCTAACCAGTGGGATTAAGGATCTTAAATTCTGTGTCCTAACCCCAGATGACATACTCATTCAAATTAACCTTTGCATTCCTGCCATGTGCCCGAGGTTGCGTTGATGGGTAATAGAGAATTAATGTCTGAGCTCATGATCAGCATAACATTTGACAATCAAGGAAGACTGACAGCTAAGACTAAGATGTGTTAACTGACTAATCCAAAGAGAAAGGACCATATAGGACTTTACATACTTCTATTCTACCAAATGACCCGACCATCCCACCCAATTTTGGGCGGAGGACAAAACTGCAGTAGGCTTTTGTTAATTGCACACCCCTTACAAGCCAAACTTAAAACAGGACGCGGGTCCCATTGTTTTTCAAAAACAGTATCCCCCTTGTCTGAAGAAAAGATAGAGGGTATAAGGACCAGCCATACAAATTTATCTGACAATGGTGTTCTCAGACCGACCATAAGTCCCTGGAACACACCTATTAATTAAGCAGATGGTTCATTGAGGCTAGTCCAGGATCTCAGGAAGGAACAATTATTCCCCTACCTCCATTGGTAGCAGATATTACGGCAATTTTTGGGGCTATTCCCAGCAGCTCGCGATTCTACACTGTAATAGATCTGTCCAATGCTTTCTTTAGCATTCCGGTTGAAGTAAATGCCCAGAACATGTTTGCTTTTCAATGGGGCGGTGGTCAGTTGACCTGGTCTCGTCTTCCTCAAGGCTATGGGGATAGTCCTGCTGCTTTCTCAATGGTATTGAAAGCATCTTTTAGACAGTTGGGAGCCAAAGAGGGGATCCACCCTTACTCTCCAATACGCAGACGACCTAATGGTCAGCCATGAAGACTGTGAGGTAGACTCAAGACACTTGCTAGATTACCTAGCCGGAAAGGGCCATTTGGCCTCAAGAAAGAAGATACAATGGGTACAGAACAGGTGGAATACCTGGGTTGCCTGATTTCAGGAGGAGAAAGGTCTGTCTCCCCAGCCAGGGTAAAAGCCCTAATGGTCCCTCACACTACCAACAACCAAGGCTGCAATGATTTCCTTCCTTGGGTCAATAGTGTATTGAGCAGGCAGTGGATACCTGACTGTTCCCACAATGATTCGATTCTCAGGGATACAACAAAACAAGAGGCCCCACAACAGATAGAGTGGACCCCGGAGAGGAAGGAAGCTTTTGGTAGACTGATCAGATCACTGACTAATGCCCCAGCCTTAGCACTGCCGGACTATGAGAAGGAGTTTCAGCTTTAAAAGTTGTAGTGTCAGCGGACGCATTTGCAGCCGTACTCACACAGGAACACGGTGGAAAAATAGACCAGTGGCTTACCTTTCCAGAAGTTGCCTTGTGTGGTTTTGGGCATGCTCTCATTGCCTTCAAGCGATGGCTGCTTGTGCTAATGGCTGTAAAGGATGCAAGTAAACTGACACAGGGATCACCGACTGTGTTATACACCACACATTCAAATAGCAGTGCTAGTGCAACAATATGACGACACAGCACATGACAGCACAGAGAACTGAGTGGATATGAAGTGATCTTAACTCAGCACTGCCAACTTGCAGTTTAAGACTTGTCCGAAAACTGACAAATTGGGGTGAGACGGGAGGAAAAATGGTGACTATACCCACTATCTACATGACTGTGAGGAAATGGTGTTAGACAATACTACAACCCAGAGATGATCCAAAGGGACATACCCCAATCGGGCAGTATAGATGTTTGTGTTGATGGCAGCTGTGTCAGACCAGATGATCATACCTACCAAACGGGTTATGCTGTAGTGATGCTACCAGACATAATCATTGAAGCCAAACCGCTTCATGCTAATTCAGCCCAGCAAGCTGACAGTTAGTCCGCGCTAAACGCGCGTGCCTGTCAACTTTTTGCTGACTACACAAAGAGTGAACATTTTTATACTGACAGCAGATATGCATATGGGGTAGTACATGATTATACATGATCCCGTTAGCCAGAGGTAACAATTCAGCAGACAGAGCAGCAACGGAAGCAGCCGTGTCATCCACACCCACACACAACATGACCTTTTTATGAAGACAGACTGGAAGAAAGCCACAGGGGGAACT